GGGGGGGGGGGGGGGGGGGGGGTCAGTGGAAGCGATATAGCCCATAGCCAGAAGAAGAGAATTACAATCAATGATATATTATTTAGTTTACCTATGCGTCTTCTCAAAATCAAACTCATAATGAATAATTAAAGTAGCCAAATTTCTATCATTTATAGTCTTATTTTTTTTTAATTTATTCATTACTATTTCACCCCTTGCAGTAGTATTCAACAATTCACGTACACTTTTTTTTGGTACTAATAAAAAATACACTCATGAAAATCATACATATTGACGTGCTCAAGGAGATCTGTACCCCAGTCCAAAATTCAAGTTTACAAATAAGTTTTTTGAAAAATCTACTATATTATTTATAACTATACTAGTAAATATTTCTCTAAAAAGCTCAAGAACATCAAACTAAAGATGAAATAAAGGTAGAATGAAGGTTGAATTTCGGGCTTGGGCACAGATCACCTCAATTTGGTAGTAATAATATTATATATAATTGTCAACATACAAGCACCTTCACATTCTCTAATTGTAGAAATATTTATAGGAGATAGATTTACTTCTTCGCTAAAACCAGGGTTATTAAAAGATGTGCTGTTAAACGTATTGGACATGTTGTTAAGGGAAATGTCAAGAGATGTCGAGTCCACAGATGTTTGATCGGGAACGAGAAGTTGAAGAGTGTGGGGACTACAATTTACTTTCTACAGCATACGTCTTTTAATGAATTTTTGTCTGAAGCCGCATTCATCAGAATGAAATAAATCATTCAACATTTCATCACTTATGTCATGCATAACTTCCTCGTCCACACCAGCTTCTGAAATGCACAATTTTTCATCCATGCATACAAAGGAACTGATTTCAACACCAACCCAAACTTACTTTTATACAAACATACAAGTTTAGAGGTTAATAAAAATAAAGAATATTAACTTACTTTGAAATCTAGCTATGAAGTTTTCTAAGGTTCAGCTGGTAAGCAGATTTTTTGTAAAATCATCCATCTTTTTCGTTTAGCACTAAACTTGAATTACTTGTAAAAATTTATTCTCTGCTGTCTGCTGATATCACCGGTTGCGCTTTGCGTTTGTCTTACATATACCACGTCGAATCAGTAAACGTTACCGTAACCTGACTATAGAGCGCTCTACTGAAAGATTTGGTAGTGGCTACTAAAGCGCTGCGTTGGCTTGTTTACTAAGTCGGTTTCAGTGCTCATAACAGTGTTCGTTTTTTCAGTGTACCTGGGCCTACACATTGACTCCACGCTGAGGTTCGACCAACACCTCCGAACCGTCAGCGAAAAGGCAGCAAGTTTGGCTGGAGCCCTCGCGAAGATCATGCCCAACATTGGTGGGCCCAGAAGTAGCCGACGAAAACTCTATGCTCATGTCATCGACTCGATCCTCATGTATGGAGCGCCCATCTGGAGATGTGCGACGAAGACACAGGCCTACATCCGTCAAACAGAGGCTGTACACCGACGATTCTGCCTGCGCGCGATCAGCGGTCTACCACACGTTTCATACGACGCAACGTACGTGATAGCCGGCGTACCTCCGCTGACCCCACTGGCGGATGAGCGTGCGCGCATATAACAGCGCCGACCGGAGGACGTCAAGGAAGAAGAAAGAAGAGAGACGCTGAGAAAGTGGCAGAACCGATGGGATCGGGCCCCAAACGGCCGATGGACACACCGGCTGATTCCGAACATCGCAGAATGGGTAGAGAGGGGACATGGAGAAGTGGGCTACTATCTCACGCAACTCCTGTCCGGGCACGGCTACTTCAAAAGCCATAGCCAGCGCTATAATAACACCCCAAGCGCTCTCTGCCCAGCCTGTCCAAGCACGATAAAAGACGTGGAACATGTGTTCTTTCACTGCCCGCGATTCCACAAAGAGAGGGAGAGACTTCAACAAGTCCTCCAAGAAGAAATCGAGCTGGAAAACATCGTCCGGCTCATGCTCGAGACCGTAGGCAACTGGCTGGCGGTAGCTTCCTTTGCGCAATCAGTCGTCACTAACCTGAGACAAGAGGCGCAAGAGGTGTAAAAAAAAAACAATCCATATGATGCTGTAGGAAAAAGATGAAAACGACGCTTCTGGTTCCCGAACCCCTAATCACCGCAAGGTGGACGGGGGATGTACGGAAAAGAGACAGACGTAGCAGAGAAGCTCTATAGAGTCCCCACCGAAGTAATGTTTAACGACGGTTTCTAGTGGGGTACTCGTTTCGAAGGGCCACTGGCTGCAGAGTTCACTCTGCCCACGTCCAAAAAAAAAAAAAAAAACACACAACTACGCTTACGTGAGTACTCTCAAGCGTAAAACACACACATAATATACTTTACCGAACCCTTACACTTATTTAACGTTGCTGAAATTTGCGATTTTTTCTCTTGAGCTGCTGGGACTCGAATGCCCGATCTGTGCGCTTGAACTCAGCGCTCTCTTGTCGCTCGTGATCGCTCGCTGCTGGTTGCCACTACTCGCGCCGCCGAGCTTGTAAACCAACACTCCTGACTCACTTCGACGTGATCGACGCTCAACCGCTGCGCAAAGGCCGGAAAGCTCTTTCTCGCACTAATAGTATGTATTGCCAGCGCGCCCAAGTCGCAGTTCGCTCATGCATATACACACACA